CCTGTGGGTGCCAGGGACAGGGCTCTGAGAGACACCCCCAGCTCTGCCAGCACCGAGCCCGCCTGGGGCACAGGGATGCTCCCACATGGTGCTTTTGACTTTTGCAGTAAAAGAGATTCTGGTCCTTAACAGCCCTTGGGCTCATTCAAAACGAGACAGATCAGTGCCCTGAGCCTGCAGCAAAGCTGGCAGCACAGGGGGCACAAGTAGTACCTGGCACCTCTGCTGCCCACCTGCTCGGGCAGGTACCTGCAGGACAGTGGCACAGCCCTGAGCTCAAACACCACTGCCCCAGGGATGTCCCAGAGGCTGGGACAAGGAGCCCAAGTTCCCACGTGTCCCCTGTGCAGTGTCCCCTGCCCCGTGTCCCTGCCTGGTGTCCCCTGTGCAGTGTCCCACAGTGTCCCCTGCCCTGCCCACAGCTCAGCCTTGCACCACCAGCCCTGCGCAGCGGCTGCCGCAGCAGGCAGGGGGTAGATATCATCTTTAGCTGATTAAATGTCCCTCATTAACGAGTTTCTTTAATTAATGAAGTTTTTTTGTTTGCTCCACTTGCTTCCTCCCGCCCCACTCTGCCTCCTCAGCACAATCCAGGCCATTTCCTTTCCAGTCATTTAGCGTGGGGCCGGTTCCTGCCGACGCCGCAGTTCGGTGATGGTGCCTGGCAGCCCAGGCTGACAGCACCGATTCCCACTTGTGCTCCTTTCTAAGGAAACAGTGCCAGGAGCCCCGGATGCACAGGGTCAGAGCAATCACCTGAGTGCTAAGGATGGGGCAGCTGCCAGCCACGAGCGCTCACAAAGGGCCACCAAACCTGGGCTGTGACAGATGTGGTGCCAGCCCGGTGTGACAGTGCCACCCAGGAGGGCCTGGGCTTAGGGGCAGCATCTGTCCCCTCCTGCTGCCATGGACGTGCCAGCTTCCTCCAAGCCTCACGGCCACCCTGCTGCCTCAGCCTGACCCCAGTCCCATCTCCAGCCCAGGGCAATTCCCACCAGCCAACTCTGCCCACAGCTCTGCCCTAGCTGTGCTGCACAGTGCTGATGGTGCAGGGGTGGCACAGCACAGCATGGCCTGGTCACGGCATGGCACTGCCCAACCATGGCATAGCACTGCCAGTCACAGCACGGCATGGCCTAGTCACAGCATGGCACTGCCCAGTTATGGCACCTGTGCCATGCAGGCACCCCGTGCCCAGCAGGACTCACTCACAGCATGACAGACACAGCTCCCCCTCGACCCCTGCCCATGCTAATGACTGTCAACACGGAACACAGAACGCGGAGGGGAGGAAAATTACTCCCTGAAAAGGAACTGACTGATCCCTGTCATTTCTCACAAAACCACTGACCTGTAAATATTTCATTAGCCCCAGAGCTGTGCCATCCATACAAAGCAGTGCCCGGCGCTGTGCAGGCTCCTGGCTGCGGGCAGGGGGCTCAAAAGAGCCCCGGGAAGGACCAGCCCTGCCCCTGCCCACCCAGGGGATGCCAGGAGCCAGTGGTGGTCCCTTACCCCCAGAGTGGGGTCACAGAGGGCTGGGCTGGGGACGACGGGGATGCCAGGAGCTTGTGGTGGGTCCCTTACACCCAGAGTGGGGACACAGTGATCCCACAGAGGGCTGGGGGGCAGGATGGGGATGGAGCCTGTGCAGGAAGCAGGGAAGGGGCTGCAGGGACAGCAGCAGCTGCTGCACTCAATGTCTTCATTAGGGAGGGTGAGAGGTGGGTGATGGCATCTGCCAGGGATGCTGCGGTGGGAAAGGAGAGCTCCAGTGGGCAGGCAGCACCTGAGGGGGAGGAGGAGGAGGAGGAGGAGGAGCAGGGGAAGCAGAGCAGCCTGTTGGCATGGGAAACACCATTTTCCTGGGCTAGCACACATTTCCCACACTCTGCACCCCCTGCCCTGCTCCTGCCCGTGTCCCCAGCTCACAGACGCTGCTGTGCCCCTGCCCTGGCAGCCTGGGGAGCACAG